TAGCACAGAAACAGTACTATATAACATTTTAGACACATTCTAGACAGTTTATCAGCTAAAAAAAAGTTAATTTTGGGGTAAGTTACTCTTTAAGAGGCCCTTGTTCATTTTTTATCCATTTCCACTTACCATTCGTTCTGGAACTGGAACTAGTTTTTGTCAGTGAGTATATCATCAACTTTTGAATAAAATCTGAGATGTGACAAGACTAAGTCCCATGGCCCTACTGTACAGTACTTCAAGTTCATTCACTTTTCAAATCATACTTATTAAGCTGACCTTGTGATGAATCACCATGGAATAAGCCAAAGGAAAGTCTTCCTCTTCTTTGCTCAGTGGAAATGGCAAGTATTTCCTCTTTAACTTGAATTTCCTGTAACAAAGATGCTTGTCAGTATATTTTTAAGAGTAGATATTGTTCATAGTTACTCCATGGAAGTAAATATATGCCATCAGAATTTGAATAAAAAATGCATCTGAATTCATTTTTTTAAAAAAATCAGTGTCAACACAGTTTGATATAACACACCTGCAGTCTTGGGTTTCATAAATGTAATACTCATCTGGGATCTGAATATTCTTCTGGAAATCTCTGGTGATGGTGAGTAATTTGACCTGCTGCAGTGCCTCCTGCTCGCCCTGCAGGATTCCTGAACAGTTGCAGGCTTTCTCTGGGCCACCATCATCCTCTGTATACTCCAACCATCTGTAACCAAGTGTCCTGTCTGTCCGCTGACGCACTAGATAAAATGTCCCGAGTGACACCAGCCCAACTGAGAGCTTCAGCAAAAATTGCACACAACCTCGTTTCAGTGGTTGCATTTTATGTGGACCTCATTTAAAATGCTTTCGAAGAAGGATATCTGTAAACAAGCTGAACACCAGCCTCTATAAAACAGCTTTATTTGAACTAAATATTAATTTCATGTGCTAATCATAAAAAAACTATTACAGCTGTTTCAGATCACAACCTGCTTTATAGCTTTTTTGGACTCGATTGAATGTAAACGTTACGTTATATTGACTAAAAGAAGTTGTGTCTTTTGACACAAGAGGGGAAATTTTTACATTTAATTTTACAGTGAACCCAGACTGGCAAGATATTCAAGTGGCACAGATCCTGTAAGCAAAATAAGAAAAAAACAAAATCAATGCTTATCCAGACTTTATGATATCATTTAGACAGGATTAATTTTAGCTGATCCTGACTTCTTTAAAATTACTTCATCTATTTGATCCAGGACTGCCTAATCCTGGTCCTCAAGGACCGCTATCCTACATGTTTTACTTGTTTCCCTGCTCCAACACACCTGATTCAATGATTGAATCACCTCTGCACTTTCTGCAGAAGCCTCATAATCACCCACTCATTCAAATCAGGTGTGCTGGATGAAATAAACCTCTAAAATACACAGGACAGCAGCACTGAGCACCAGGATCAAACACCCCTGTTATATTGATACTTTTATTTTTAGTCAGTCTTGTTTTTCTGCCACTGGTGATGCTCCATAAAATTTTCCAAAGAAAATCATCCAAACACAAGCTAAATAAACACAATAATAAAGTCAGAACTATTTCATGTGAGTATTATACAGTATTAAAAAGCTATACAATTACAATTTTGTCAATTCTTCACACTCCGTAATGAAATGTTTGCAATTTTACAGACATCTACTTATTTGTAAATAGTCTTTTGTCTTCTGCTGATGTGTGCTTAAAATTTGAATAAACCATTTGCACTTTTGGCTTTTCAATAAGATCTAGTTTAGAACTCAGCATTGGCCAGGTTGAAATTATTCACTGTTTTATTTCTGTAATTTTGTCCTGGTTTAGTTTTGCAGCATAGATTTCTTGCAAACGCACTGTGCTTTCAAACTTTTTTAATACCATTTTATTTCAGCATTCATTTGAATCATTCAATGCTTTTTGTGATCCTTCATAGAACCTTATTGTACAAATATTTTAAAATAAACTCCTACTGTTTTTGGTAACAGGACCTAACAACCAAAGTGTCTCAGCAGAAAGAGGACCCAACTTGTTCATCCTTTTACGTTAAATGTAAAAATAAACAAAAAATACTGAGCATAAATCCCATGGATTGACACAATTCTAACAAACTGTTTTTGACCAGGGCCAGTTTAGGAGCTTTGTGCAGCTCTTCAGATTACGGTAAACTTAAAAAAGGTAGGCTACTTTATAATAAAAAAAATAGACATTGCATTTTATGAGCGAGCAAAAAATACTATGCAGGCAAATTCAACAAAGAAAATATCCAACTAAATCTGAAATTGTGTTTTAAAAACAAGGCAGAACAAAAAGTGTATTTGAAAACAAGGAGTTTCGCTACTGCATCAGTAAAAACAAAAGCAGAAGTTCGTCTTAATGCAACGTTTTATCAAAATGTACTCAATGTCCCAAGAGGCAAAACTGCACACGAAGTTTTAATATATGAAACACGTTGGGCAGAAAGATTTGATTTATAACTGTAGCATTTTCTTCATTAAATATTCAATAAAATTGCATTWTTTTCCCCTGATTTTACTGTGGTCATTTTGTTTTAACCTGCACTTTGCAAACGTGAAAAGGTTTTTATTGTACTCATTGTGTAGCTATAACAGATAATATGCAAAAAAAAATAAGTTAATATTGACAAAAGAAATGYAGATAAACAAGTTAAATGGCACGAGATAAAGCAAAGCAACAATGGCCCAAAACATGAAAATAATATACCAAACAAATTAAACTCTTACCTGTGGTCGGATTTGAGTCTTTCCTCAGCTCCACTTCGGGTGTATTTGTGCTTTTTTCCCTACCACCCATCACACAACGTGAAAGCTGCTGAGCAGCGACTTCCGGAAATATATTTTCAAAATAATTGCTTTAACACGTTGGATAAAGTTTTTTTTTTTCATGCATCCATAAAAATAAAGACAAAATTGGCGAAAAAAATCATGAATCTCCAAAATATTATATTAGTTAATATCATGTAAAAATATATGTTCAAACTGTCTTTCATAGCTAACGATTGGTGACTACACAGATGTTTAGTTGAAGGTTTATTTCAAGTGTACTGCTTTTATTTTGAAAATCACATGGTTGAACCCAATTTGACTTTCTGAAAAAAGTTTCTTTTATACAATTTAAACAATGCACATGTGGACATATGGATTAAAATGCAGGTAAAGTTGGTAGCTACGGCATTAGCACAGGTTTTATAATGTTGTTTTAACAGTTTTGTGAGTATACAAGCTCATTTGCACTAATAAAGGCATCCACAGGTGACAGGTGAGGCTGCAGGTATGAAGGTTAAATAGCCGCAGGATATTCGGTTTGTGATTTATTTTATTTGTTGTAAGTGATAAGATAAAAATGGCAGGCTATTATTAAATAACAATGTGGCAATATTTCATTTCAGAAACTGTTCTGGGATCTGTTAGTCCACCTGAATCGCCTCCCAGAGGGCAGCAGGTCAAACAGATCAGCTGTAAACAGCCCTCCAACATATCAGATATCCCTAAGGATTTCTGTATTTCTGTTTCTGCTTTTAGTGTTCAGTGTTGGGTTAGTGATCTGCTTAAGTCTTTGCCACATCTTCAAGAAGAATACGGTCTGATTTCATTTCGTGTGATGATGAAAAGCTTCAGTTGTAGTTCCTGCACTTTTTAGATTCAAAGACAGGGTAATGAGACTGACTTTTAGCTTGTTTTTCATCACCAATCAACATGTTGTCAAGACTGTCATCTTCAGGACAAACTGGTTGCAATGAAACATCTAGCTCTGCAGCTTTTGAACCAGCTGTGCAGAGAATGGTACATTCATGAGTCTCAACAGTACGGAGCCCGCGAGGGGACATGGGGGATTTTTTTTCTTTTGCGTTCCCTCGCAATATTCTGTTGCGTTCCCACGCAAAGGTTTGATTTGTATATGAACTGAATGAAATCAGACTTTTATTTTTGAAATATTTGGTTACTAAAACAGGATGTGTCACTACAAGTTCGTGAAATTGACATTGATGTTTCGTGGCTGCACTGTGTTCAAATATCGGCATTTACTGTTCTTCCAGTGACAGCTGGTATATATGGGCTAGTAGGGCTAAGCCCTCCCTGGTGTTCACAATAAAAATGTTAAAATAAACAATATTATGAAATTATAATATAATTATATACAATTTATAAGTAACAACTTAAAAATAAACAAAATTTAAAAATAATATATCTTATTTTGTGAAATTTACAAGTAAAACTGGTGCCAAACCACCTGGGAAGATCCCAGTGTCTTTCTGCGGGGCTAACTATTCACAGCCCATTTTCATTGTAATGTGTGTCCTGGTTCAGAATGATTGACAGGCGTCTCGCCACGCCCCCTCGGTTTGCAGCTCATTGGGGCTAATTCTGTTCAGCCCAGGATCAGCCCAAAGCCACAGGATTCAACCATTTAGGATGGACGTACAAAAACATGCCTCCAGTGTGAGTGTAGGTGGGCGTGGTTTGGTGTAGACTGACAACTTAGCTAAGTTTCTTAAAACAAAAAGTGTTTAGACCAGAACACACCAGGAGAAGCTTAAAGTTAAAGAGCTTGGACCAGATCTGCTGGACAAGAAAAGCAGCAGAACAAAGACAGAGGGAGAGTTTACACTCCATTATTTTCCAAGAACTGGATTAGCAACAGGCCAAGCTAACTGCTTTTAGCGAGACTAATGGTTTGTTTTGATTCATTGCCTCGTTTTTAAAGCACCAGCATCAGCATGGATTTAAACAGGTAAGAAAAAAGTTAAAATACTTTTGTAATGCTTTTAATCATAGTAGTGCTATAATATAGTTGTGCTTTTAATCATAGTATAATATAGTTACATTGTTTTATAACTGTTAACACAGCTTTAAATAAATATAATATAATACCTTAGAGGTGCAACAATTTGTTGTTAATAAATTAACATGTGTATTCATAACTTCAGTTGTTTTCTATTGAATTTTATAAAGTTCACTTGTAGCCATCTCCATACTGAATTAAATTTGTGCAGTTATTTTTTTTAGGTTTGTGACATCATCTTGAGCCATTCACAAGCATCTGATCAGAGCTGCAGGCAGACAGGTTCCTGCAGGTCTCCACTTCACCACCATGGAGGCTGCAGTGCTGAAAAGGACCAAGCTAAACACTGAACAGGCTTTGATGAGATCAGGAGCTGCAGTGGTGCTGTGGAGCTCTTCATGGAGAACAATCTGCATCTTCAGAGACTGTGACTCTGCTGAAGATTCTCATCACATCTCTTCTGACCACAGCTGAATCTGAGAGGAGCTGAACGCTGAAGAGAATCCAGACTTTCCTCAGGTACAACATCACATCACTGCACTGACCATGCTCTACAAGAATCTGGTTAAAACATCTCTGAATTTAACCAGAGTCATGAAGAAATTTGCTTCTCAGTAACAGAAGAGCAAAATTTATGTACTAAAAATAAAACACTACATGACATTGTAATGCTGTTTTATTATTGTCATTTGTTTAATAAATACACTGGCGTGATACAACTTAGTACATGTTTGATTGCTTTTTGGGATACGTCTATTTTGGAGTTGTAGCCCCACCTGGAGAAAAATCCACCAGCCGCCACTGCATACTTCCATATGTGGTTGTGTAATACTGTATATTCATTGTGAAGCTGAATGAAAGCAGAAGGCTAACTCAGTAATGGTGAACATGTGAGTTTGTTTTAAACCGGCAGGCACAACAGTGATAAACGACTTTTGCGAGGGAACGCAATACTATTGGGAACGCGAAAGAAAAATAATGTCCCGTGTCCCCTCGCGGGCTCCGTACAACAGTGCTCCCTTCTGATCAAAACAGTTAAGGCAAGAATGTTATTTAGCAAAGASTCGCCTTTCATTTTACTTAAACCAAATTTTATTGTAAATTATTTGGCATCTGTTGTTTTCAACCTAGCTGATCAGTTCATTTTATCTTCTTGATTTTCTTTACAACAGAAATGTGAACAAAATCATCAGCCAGAAACTTTGCTACAAATTGTACTTTTATTTGCTTTGTTTATTTTTTATTCAGATGGATTAGGAGAAACGTCTAGTCAATAAAGACAGAAAGATTTTAATGGTTTTAAGTGATTAGTCTTGGAAACTTAAATCACAGAGACATGAGAACAAGAACCCATTGAGCTCACAGTTGTGTGCAAAATATTTTTTCTCTGCCTGTGCTAATGCGTGACTGTTGGCAAAATATCTCATGAACCACTGGACGGATTTTCATGAAACTCTCAACAAGTAATTGCTGGATGTTCATCTACAAAAGATTAACTTTTGAAGTATACTTATAGATTGCTGGTTAAACTGAAGCTTAGGTGAAGTTGATGCAGCATTGGCACAGGTTATTTAATGTTGTAAATTAAGAGAAGCACTTTGCTCATTTTAAATAAAAGTGGTGCAAATAAAGGAATCCAGGTGACAGCTGAGGCTGCAGGTATGAAGGAAAACTCAAACAAAGGAAGCCTGGTTTGTGATTTTTATTTTAATTTATTCCCTCAGTAGTGATCAAATTAAAATGGGCAGACTATTATCATTGTAGAAATATTTTAGAGATATTTTATTTTAGAAACTGTTCTGGAATTTGTACATAAGTTCTCGACTTGGTTTACTTGTAGCACCTCCCAGAGGGCAGCAGGTCAGCTCAACAACAAAGTCAGATGTCCCTAACGATTTCTRATTCAATTAATGTTTTTTTTTATTTTATTGTTTTATTTTTTATTGTTCAGTACTGGGTAAATTATTTGCTCAAACCTGGTTATCTGAACACCTTCAGGAAGAATATGGTCGGATTTCATTTCATGTGTCAACGAAACACTTCATTTGTAGTTCCTGCATTTAAAAAAAGGTTCAAAGACAACATAGGTTTGAGCCCGTTTTTGTTCTTCTTTTCAGCGCTCAGCATGTTGTCAGGACTGGCATCTTTTAAGTTACAGGACAAACCAGTTTTCATGAGGCATCTATAGCTCTGCAGCTTTTCAGCCAGCTGTGCTGTAAAATGATACATTCTTGAGTCTTTAGGTACCCAACAGTGCTCCCTTCTGATCAAAACATTGAAGGCAGAAATAATGTTATTTAGAAAATACTTTTTGTTTTACTTAAACCAAGTTGGTAAATCTTCTGGCATCAGTTGTTTTCAACTCAATAAAGCTAGATTTTGGTGTGGTAGTAGCTGGGAGTTATCCTCTCAACACATCGAGCACCAACAGATTGAACCACCACTTTAAAACTTTGGCAGTCAACACTGTTTGTCTGTTAACAAAATATCTTATGAACATCTTACACGAACATCTTGAAAAATTAAAACGAAATCCTCTGAAAATAAATATTGGATGTAAATCTACATAGTAGCTTTTGAAGCGATTCAAGATGACCACCACAGCCTTGACTGCAACAAACAAGAAGATGTTTATAATTCAGTCAGTTTCATGTAAAGTGATCTCAGAAAGTCTCCGTCTTTATTGTGCCTCGGCCAGAGCTTTGTGTCTGAGATATCTCTCCAAGCAGTAGACGGAAGTGGGGTCCATTTCGGTGTCAAACTTATTGGCAAAAAGATGGTGATTCTGAAGCAGCCACTGTAGGTCTCCAGCTCCATATACACATATCGACCTGACGTGGTTTCCTTGACACTCGGGGTATGCGGCTAAATTCTCAGAGCCTTCGTGATACTGCCACTTCACCAGCCTTGCAAGTGCGTTGACATCTGTTTGGTCGTATTTTCGGTTGGGCCACTTAGAACCAGGAACACCAGGGATTCGTTGAATGGTGGCCCACAGAAACTCGTCAGGACTGAAGGTGTCTTTGAACCACTCAATAAGTGACAGTATTCGATTGTCTTCCAACACGCTGTGGACAAATCCTCGAGAAACCACGATGTAGGCACCTCCTGACTTAATGGGAATGTTAAAGGGAGGTGGATCTTTTAACTTATTTGTCATCTGAAAAAATGAAGAAAAAAAGACAATGAAAAAGGAAGATTAGTAATGATAGTCTAAGCAGGCTTTTTGAAAGATTATAAATGCTCTTCAAAGGTACCTTGACATTCCCACCAATGACCTTATGAACATATGATATCCTCCACTTTTTCCCTGCAGGCACGCTTTCTGACTCCAAGCTGTTACTGCCCCTCAGTGAACGCAGCATTCTCACCATTTCCAAGTTGGTTTTCAGGGGAAAGTCCTGACCACAAAGGTTGATGAAGTATTTCCATTTTGTACTGGCAGAGTATAGATCAGCCATACAGTTCAGGTCAGCTTGTACACGAGGCCAGCCAGCGTAGACCACCTCCACAGCCTGACTGACCAGGAAGACGTTGGGAAAACAGGAAGYAATGGCCTGGATGGCAGCGGTTACAGAGGGCTTTGCTTTTTTGTCCACGTGGACGCAGTAAATATTTTGTGGGGCATAGATCGCTCGAAGAAGTCGCTCAAAGTTCTGCACCTAGAAGAAAAGAGAATTAAATTTGTGTATTTTCATGCAGAAAATTGGAGAAAACAAAAGTTTGAATATGTAAATGGATGTGTGTAAAGCGGCAAACATAAGAAAATCCAAAAGTCAGTTTTGATCATGTGTAACAGAAAAGTGTTTAAATAGATCTGTGTAATTCCAAGTACTTGCTTTAAACAAAAAAAAAATGTCTAATTTCAATCTCTGACAAAATGCAGTTAATGTATAAAATGCTTTGAAAAAAAAGTTTTCATTTGCTTACAAATTTATGCTGTTTTGCATTTTTGTCACATGTTCAGCACATCATAAGACAGAGTGTAAATTTAAAAAGCAGTTTTAAACCGGGGACTTCATTTATTGAGGGAAAAAGCTGAAACTTGATCTTCATGTAAACGTAAAAACTTCATGTAAATTCCCTAATCACATCTATTGGGTGTGACACCTTTACAGAAACAGTTATAATGAAGCATTAACAATAATTAACAATGAGCCTTTCAAACGGATGTGGAGGAATTTACCTGCTGTGCCCTTTGTCTCTTTTTATTGTCTGACTAATGAACAATGAGTAGGCCTGCTGACCTTAACTGAGCCAGGTGAGGCCTGCAGGGCTTCAGATACAGTTCTRGGGTTTTTGGAGATGTGACGTTATAGATTAGTAGCTGATTTGCCTTTGGGGTAATTTAAGTCAGCCTGCTGGTTCATCACTGTTGCATCTTTATTCAACGTATTTGTGTATAATAGCTCTATTTAAATGATTTGTCCTGATGCATCTCAGTAATCCAGGTAAAAAATGAAAAAGAAAAAAATTGTATAGGTCTTCTGGACGGGTTCTTCTCTAATGAAATGTTTCGTCTCTTCTCCAAGAGACTTCTTCAGTCTGAGAGTTTCAGGCAAAATTCAGGCTTTTAAGCCCTGCCTCCATGTGACTGATACTCACATCACATGGCTATCGTTGACACCTAATTAACACTTATTGTTAACAGGGGTTCCTGGATTGAATGTCTCGGT